GACCAAAACATTTTGCCAAAGGGAGTCGTGCCAAGTCAACGTAGCCTTCAAAATAAAGCTAAAATGAAAATTCGCCCACTGAGAGGAAGGATTGTCCTGATTTGGGAAATGTAGTTTGATTTTGCCCCCATCCACCCAAAACATGTTCTTGAAATACAAATTTAATCTAAAAGGTCAAATAGCATTACATGTTAATGTTGGCTTGTAAACTGTAGCATGCAGCCATGTGGGAGTATCCAGGACAAGCCTGAAGGTGTGACTGTACCTGAATACCAGTCACCAAAACATGTTTAACATTTGCACAGCCATTTGATCTGACTTTTGACTTCTCCCTTATTCACAAGGAGTCGCCACAGCAGGTAGTGCTGCATATTTAATTCTCTGCTAATGCAGCCCTAAATGGATTCATGTCTCCTCCTGGGATCGAACACGTGATCTTTCATTTGTTAGATGCACTAGTGCAAAACTATAATTTGTAGGTTTTTTTTTAATCACAACTCTCACTGGAATACACTCAGACAGGTCACTGTCAGGACACCCCCACTTCAAATACAAATACATTTTCTTTAAATGAAACTTTACCAACACCCTCATTCAGTATATAGAATAAGCTTAAAGCAAATAAAACATAATGATTCAAATAACCGTTACAACTGCTGCTTGTCTTTGGCATCCATGAATCGTCCTTCGCGGTCTACGTGGGCCTTTGATGAGCGAATAGGTCGGAAGTGCAAAGCTGTGAAATGGGACGGTCTAGCCTTCAGATTTGCGTCACCAGCTGTGTCTGTGGACTTTAATAAACTCAGCCGTCTGCTCCTTGCTCCGTAATATATAACAGGACACTGGAGCAAATTCTCGACCATCTCGCACTTCTGTTTAATCAGTTTTCTGTTTGACGTTTATTCAGCTGTGCGAAAACTATCACCGTCATCTCTTTGTGCTCAAATCTGCTAATCTGCTGGCACTATTTGCAGTTATCCCCAGTAGGGTGATAATTGGTTCACTTTTGTATGACATATGATGGCGTGATGGTTAAAAGCTACACTTCAGAAAAGCGTCTGCCAATTAAAAAGTCGCACATTGTCTCTGGGATGGGGAAAGGATAAAAATGCTGTGCAGTTTCAGATAAAGAGGAACCTCGAGGCACCCTGTGCTGCAGTTAGCAAGCAAACAAAGTGTCAAATAATTAATCACCTGACAGGTCAGCAGATGATTGGTCATTGTTTATTGTCCTTTAGATGTTACCCCCTCTGCACCCTCAGTTCGTCAGCTCGCTGTATAACACACAGTTTCACAGGAATACACATCAGCACCATATGTAACGAATTTAACCCAGTTAACCTCAAATCGTGTGTGTGTGTGTGTGTGTGTGTGTGTGTGTGTGTGTGTCTTACTGTTACTGTTTTCTTTCACTCTTTCTCTCATCTGTGTTTATGTTAATCAGCATTTTTATCCATTCAATCACCAGATTAATCATTTAATTATTTGCAGATCAAATAAAGAATTGGCACAGCAATGATGAAATAGTCTTTTTTTTTTGAGAGCAAACAGAGTATTTTAGGAAGAGCGAGACCTCAAAAAGGTAAACAAGACTAAATATGGATACACGAATCAGGTTGTATGTGGTTGGTGTCCTAATTGTTTCTAGAGTGTTAGGCTGTGGTGTAGATTTCTGTTCTGATCACTTTTGACATCAGTTGTGAAATGCTTCAGACCGATGTTGTAAGTTTAATTCACCAGAGAGTTTGCGATCGAAACCGCCCACCTGCTAACTCCAGTGACGGATACACTCTCTCTCCCTCTCATCTCTTGTAACAACAAAGCCAGGTTTCTAAATTGGCACGCGCCCTAAAATAGCACAATGGATGGTTATATCAGACTAATTGTGTTTGTTGGCTGCTCGTGGTGAACCAGGAGGTCTTAAAGGGAAATCCACAGATAATTAAGTTAAAACAATCATTTCTGATTGTTAAGTTTTTATGATTTTGATTGCTGAGTTATTAATCTGTGTCTGCAGGTTTTACATGCTGATGATATGCATTTCTATCCACATAAATCCTTAATAAACTCCTGAAACATGAATGCAAACCTGCATTTTTAGAGCAGTGCTTACCTTCTGTTTTTGGTAAAGTTGACACTTTATTAATGTCATTTCAACATTAAACTGAAATATTAGCCAAAGACATAAAATATTTTATGGCTGCTGTGTTTGGAAGCTTTAAAATCTGCACAAAAATTCCAAATTAGGTTTAATCAACACTTAACAGCAAGCTCATTCAGATGTTAGAATTTAAGTCCTAAGCTAATTGTCCTGCTGTATTTGTCACTGCTGTAAGCACGGCCCACCCTCTGTCCTGTGCCCATCTCCTTCTTTTGTTGTCCTTTTATTTTACCACCTGTTATGTTTTCATCAGCTCAGTCCATTTGCAGCGGGGTGGGAGGATGGAGTGAAGGAGGGATGGCAGCATGGATTAACTGTGCTGTGTTGTTGCTGCAGTTCACACATTCCAGCAGGACGATCCGGGCCAACAGCCTCCAACACAGAGGCCTCCTTAACCCCCTTCTGTCCTGTCCTCTGTCCTCTTATCCCTCCATCTCCCTCTGTGTGCCCCTAATCTCTCTTCCATATCTCTTTACAAAGAAACTTGTGCTACTCTAACTCCCCTTTCTCTCCATTGCATCACATCCTCCCTCTGCAGACAGCAGCACTGCCAGATGTGTATCATGTTTCACAGTGTTTATTGACGTCTGATCAAGCCCAGAGTAAACCTATTTCTTCCCACAAGTGATGCAAAACATCTCCCGAGTATGGTCACTAATAACTGCTATACGGTTTTTTCACCTGCTATTGCACCGCCCTCTAGAGGCCAATTTGTATAATTTCACAGAAAAGAAAAGAAAGGTCAGGGCTGCTCAGCAGAAATTATGATCTTCCAGTGCTTTAGGACTTAATTAGGGGAAAGGATTGACTGATTTAACAGAAAGTAAATCAGTATCTCCAGTAATATTTTTAATCAAAATGACCAAACATAGCCAGTGAGTCTGTTTTTAAATATCAGGAATTCGTCCTTTTTATTGTCATACATGATGGCAAACTGGATAAGGCTTTGAAATACTTGATGGACAAAATCAAAGTAAATTTTTTATTTTTAAGGTGCGCCACACACACACACACACACACACACACACACACCACTAGGGCTGCTCAATTAATCGAATTTTAATCACGATTACGATCTGGGCTTTCAACGATCATTAAAAATGACTGAGCCGATTATTAGCCCCTCCCTCATTTATCCGCGACACCTTAAAGGCCGGTCCGTGAAAATATTGTCGGGCATAAACCGGTCCGTGGCGCAAAAAAGGTTGGAGACCGCTGATTAAGAGGACCCGAGGGAAGCTCAGAAAGCTAAGCAGAAGTTATTTGGAGAGTGACTGCCGTTGGTTGAAAAGAGAGTTTAAAAAAAAAAACTTCAGTGGTGTTGCACACTATTTTATATTATTTTTTAAAGTCATTGTTAACCCTTTAAAGCCGGTCAGAGCAGCACGCTCCGTTTTGTGTAACTACTTTTAAATCCCTGTAGAATCTGAACCACGTAAGCTAGCGCAATAATTTGTTTTGCATATGAAACCGGAGGAGTTGTACTTACAACTTATGCCATCAGCTTGTCCTCGGTCACGGTTTCCTTCCACATATAGCTTTGCAAAAATTGCATAAAAAGCGCTTGCAGGAACAAAAACATAATATTCCAGAAACACGCTTTGCCGATCCGATCAGCTGTTCGTAACACTTCCCACAGTGAAATGATGCACCTGCTGTTTTCTTTGCAAATTTGCATCATAGGATTGTTTTTTGTTTTTCCTGCAGTATATAAAAATTGCTGTATCTCCAAAATAAAACTATGAAGACACTCAAAATAAATTTCCTGTGGTGGGAAACTATTTTTTGCAACTTTATTGTATTTAAAGTTTTGAGGGATAAGCCTCTTAAATTTCTCCAAGTAGAAATATATGTAAACAAAACAAAAGCGATTTTCAATTTTTTTTGTAGTTTATTGCACTTTTTTGCAATTTATGTAATTACTATGGACTTAATGCATACATATTATTAAAATATGGGCTATAACAGTTGTATTGATGTATAGCAACTTGAAATGCTCCCACAAATGGCACTACAGCATGTAAAAAAATAATATAAGCTCTGGTGGACTTGGTTCTATAGTAGGTCTTAAAGGGTTAAATAAATATCGTCAAATAATCGTGATCTCAATTTCAGTGAAAATAATCGTGATTATCATTTTTGCCATAATCGAGCAGCCCTACACACCACTGCTGTGTTGTTATATAACCGACACTGGGGTTAGCGTCTTACCCAAGGACACTACAGCATATGCAGGGACTTCAAATTCAAATTTTATTTGTCACATACGCAGTCATACACAGTACTATATGCAGTGAAAATACGATAACAGTGACTCGTTAGCCTGTGATTAGCGAGAACAGGAATAATAGGAAATAAATAAATGCCTTTTAAATAAAAACTCTCTCTCCTTCTCTTTCACACATATGTTTAATCAGTTTGCTGAAAGTTTAGTTCTGTCGTGAGGATATGACCTTGTCTAATACGCACAGCCCCAAAGGATTCACTACAGAACATTTACATGCCTCAAGTCATGAGGCAATTTTAGAGCCACGTTATGTTTCGCTGCATTTATGTCAAAATGAGTAAGGTCTTTTGTATTATTTTGGCATAGAAACATTAGCTTCAGATTAAATGGATAGCTGGAATCTAAGAACATAAATGTTCCGAAATGCTGCGGTCATTTAAATAGAAATAGATATTTTAAATCATCTATTATGTCTGCCTTAATTTTTCATTGGTTCTGAAATATTGCATGTGGCTCAGCACAAGGCTTGAGGATGAGTTTTCAGAGTAAATCCACATGAACAGTTGCAGCCTTAACTGTTAAAAAACATAAACGTCTGTCTTGATTTTGCAGGGTCGAGTGGAGGTGGAGGCTGGAAATGAGAACATGAAGTTTGAGACCGGACCTTTCTCATACTATGGTATCATGGCACTCAGTGCTCCCACACTGGGTGAGTCCAGAACACATTACTGTATTTCACACACACACAAAGAGCATTACACCAATATCTCAGCTGGTACAGACGGACAGCTTTGCAACATTATTATGTGGCCCAGGATTTCTTTTTAGTGCCACACAGCATGTTGCTTATCATATGTAGTATATGATAAGCAAATTAAATACATTTAACAGCTGACTACGTAAAGTTCTATTAGTTAGTAGTATTAGTATTAGTTAAATAGCAAGAAGGAACCACTACAGAGCAAAGTGTAAACATTTACAGGGACAAAAAAGAAAAAGCATCTAAAAGTACACAAAAGTACACAGCACTCTTCTTTGGCCCGTCCCCCAGGTTCCTGAAATTCAGTCTTGTTTTTAAAAAAAACAAAAAACAAAACATACATATCACCAGTCAGATTCCCGCACTTTATTCCCACCTTGGAGAGGAATTAGAAGTCTTCCAGCTCCACCTGGTGCACAGTTTAAAACATTACAGTTGGCAACTTCAAAGGGCTCGTAAAATACAGTCTGGTGGCAAATTAAAGGAAAAAAAATAAACCCGTGAAACTAGAGCGAGGAGAGCTTTTTGGTACCGTGTTTTGTGTTACTGCAAATCACTGACCTTTAACTTACATTGAAACATTTTTAGCTTGATGGGAGTGGTGTCTTCCAGAATCATAGCACCACCAACATCAGGACACTAGAGGTCACTGAATGTTTTGAGTATGAAAATGATCTCAACCAGTGAATCACCTGCAGGTCCCATACGTTAGACAGCAGTCTAAGGGATGCACCAATGTGTGCTGATACCAGTGTTTAAACATCACACCTTGACCAGTGTTGAATGTTATTCCCACGTGACTTTAAGCTCTTTACCGCACAATACTTAAACATAAACAAGCACAACTGATTCAGTAACAGATAAATATGATGGGCTCTCTCATTTGCAGATACCGACTGATATATCAATAAATATGGTGAATATTGGCCAATAACAATATTCTATTGACATTTGGTGCCTCTGGAATCTGTGCCGAAGTCCAGTGAAACTGATCTGGATGCATGAACACAGTTTAAATTGTTTATTATTAAAAAAAAATTAATGTTATTAAAATTGTTGGCTGGCAGGAGGGAACGTGCAAAGCAGCTTGTCAACCATCATGTGTCACAACAGGAAACTGTACGTGTGCGAGTTTCTATTACTGCTTTTTTTTCATGCACGCAGTCACAAACGTTTTGTGCTTGAGACATTTTCATCGGATTCACATAATTTGTTCATAAACACTTGGTGCACCTCATAGTAACTTATTACATGTTTCATATTTGAAAAACAAATCTGAAAACTCGCTGTTTGTCATACGTGAACTGCTGGTAAATTAGAAGTAACCATAGGTCACGTACTTCATGTAGCTTAAGCGTTACAAACATGTAATGCACGCTCAGGTTTCTCACATCCCTTTAACAAGAACTATGTCTTCATTGTACCATGTGTTTCTGCACGTATTCAGCATTAAAAAAAAATAATGTTCTGGGTTCACGGAGGCCATGGGATATCACATGTATCTGAAAGGAGAAATGACTGCAACAGTGATTGTGAAACAGCTTTGTTGATGACTTTTTTTCTTTTTCCTGTCACGTTTGGCTATTTTGCCATCAGAATTATTGTCTAAAGGCGAAGAAAGATGCCCCACGGATTTACTTTACCAAATGGACCATCCCAGCCTTGCTGTAATGGTCTATTTGATTCACCTTTTATTGTTTATTTTATTTTATTTTCACTTGTTAAATACGGGACCGACTTGACTGGGGAAAAGAAAGGGAAAGAAAAACAGCAGGGAAGAGGGACGGGGATAAAGGGCAAAAAACAAAAACCAACAAAATAAGCAGACAAAAAATACATATATCAATCACCTGGATCACCTGTTGAGAAAGAAAAAAGAGAAAACAAGCAGGAGAAAAAGAGAGCAATACAATAAACAACATCACGATGATCTATGGGAATATAACAGTAAATACTAAATATTAAACATTATTGTGCAGCACGTAAGATCGACAGCGCACAGTGTGCTGTGAGGTAGGAGCCAAAAAGGGTGTAGTTTGTGTGTGTGTGAGCATCCGTGTGTACACCTGTGAGCATGAGCGCGCCACAGCCCCATCCTCCGGGGCATGAAGCAGATATGGAGGAGATCAAGACTCCAGACATCCAGAGGCCCCCAGAACACAAGAGACCAAGGAAGACCAACAGAGGGGCAGCCGCGCCACTGTCCCAGAAAGAGCTGAGGAGAGCCCCAGACCCAGGTAGTGTTACCCTTTTCCCTGGGGTGGAGAGAAGCAGACTGCCCCGGCTCGGCAGCAGCGGGGAGGCCCCACTTTCCAGACCCCGATCGGGCGGCCATCTCCTCCTCCTAGCCCCCCTGCTCCGACAGGCCGCAGAGAACGGGGGTGTGTGAAGACTCCAAACCTCCTTCCGCCCGCTCATATGTAGTGTTGATGCATGTGTGTTCTAAGGTGCATTTAAAACCCAGGAGGGCATTGAGCTACCTGCCAGAGAGCAGCAGGTAAGCACATAGCCCCTCCTGATGTTGTTGATGACTTTTGAACTCTCTCCCTTCTATCATACAGTGTCTCATAAAGTCATGCTTTCAGTTCATTCAAAACTTGTCAAGAACCGTAGTTCAGCAGAGACAATACGCCAAGGTGCACGCAAAATAAACTTTATTTCTAACTAAGCGTGTCCCAGAAGGGTTAAAGGAAAACACGCCGAGTAAATGGGAAACAAAGGGGCCGGGAGATAAGCAACTCGGGAACGCCGTAATCAGGACCATGAGAGCCTGCAACAGAACGAAGAGGGTGACTGGGGAGCAGGGGAATAACAGCATACACAGGGTAGAGTTATTAATCTTACGATCAGGGCTGGGCCATGGGAACCGGAGGGAGGGGTGAGGGTCCGTGGGAGAGCTGCAGGGAAACAGAGGAGATGATGACCGGTGGTGATCCGAACTCCAGGCGGGCAGGAGGAGGCTCAAAACATGCCGAACGGTTACCTGAGCACACAATGAAAGGATTAGCGTTGTTCAGAGCAATCAGAGTTTCACAACCACCATCACCTGGGCACCAAGTTACCGCTGAAAGGTGACTAACGGACTGACGTGAAGCAGCTGGCTGAGCGGGGTTAAATAGTCCACCTGATGACTTCCTGGAATGGGATGCAGGTGTAGAGTCGACAGCCACACCCGTGGGCATCCCATAAGCTCCTTGGACACCGGGCCGCGGACCATGACAAAACTTCCTTCCTTTCTCTGCCAGTTTTATACACAGTGTCTATTTCTGCTTGTATTCAGTTGCCAGCTTAATGCTGTTCAATCGAGCCGCATCAGTCTTTGCAGCACATCTGTTCAGTATCTGCGGGGAAAATCTCGGTGTGCTCACCTTCGATGCTGGGGTCAGACAAGATATCAGCCTGATAGCAGCTTGATCTGACAGATGTGGGACGTTGCATCAAAAATCTCTCTAGACAACTTACCAGAACCCTTTTTACATAATCCAGGAAAAATACACTCAATCTAAAATACTGCGAGGCTGAACGGGTTCAAACTGAGCTTTTTCAATGTGTTTAGCAGAAAAGCAATATAACAAAAAATGTACATTTATAAAACTTAGATAAAAGAAATTAGCTGGTAATATGCTTTAAGGACTAAAGAAATAAATTCATTCTGATATTAAATGAATTATCATTTAATGTTATACTTTTTTTCCCCCATAACTCTGTTAATATATTGGGACCCAGATGAAGAGATAACACTGTGTTAGTACTGTGTTACTATGATTTAAAAAATGAAGAACTGAAAGTCTTTTGTTTTCATTCCCAACAATAAAAAGTTGTGAGAGAGAATCAGTCAGCTTTCTAAAATCATCATATGCACACACATGAACACACACTGGCATTATGAAAATATTGGACCAGAACACCCCTTCAAAGCTCTACCTCCTCCCTGTATCCTGCAAAAACCATAGCCTTGATTATTTTTCGTCATGTTTTGAATTTGAGTATATTTATCATGACGCTCAAAAGTATTGACAGCTATTGATTACTGAAAAGTGTCAAATGTGAGCACCAAATTAATGCCGGGTTAGATTTACAATGTTTTATTATTTAGTACTTAGTATTATTAAGAAGCTCTATAAAATAAAAATAAACACTGTTTTCAAATGTTGTATTCATTAGTTCTGATCTGATGATCTGACATAAGATTTTCAAGTTGACCGTACCCTAACTGATTCTAATAGATAAAAGCTTTTTGGTGCTCAAATTGGCATGTGAATAAAAGTTAAGCTCCAATTCTGTCTGCTCGCCATTGCACGGAGACTGTATGGACAAAAGCTAAAGGCTACCTAAACATTACACCTATAGGAAGTGCTCAGCCACTGACTGACTGTACAGCTTTTGTGCTGATGTTAATACCAGAGAAAGATGGGAACTGTGTGGTTATTGAGTCAGCAGACCAGTAGCACGTACACACTAATGCTGCGCCGCAGTGTCATGTGGTCTGCCACTTTGTGGCTGATTTGCTGTGGTTCCTTTATCTTCTATTTTGGTAATACCACTTACAGCTGAGAGTGAAATACTCAGAAGCATCCACATAGTGTAGGCTGTGAAAACCCCAGAGCAGTGATTGAGTTTCCGTGTGTCTAACATTGCCACATTAAATCACAATTTAAATCACAATGAATCAGCATCTAATCTGACATAAATAATCTGATTTCTCTTCTGTATTTCCTTTCAGTTCCATATTCAGAATAAGTGGTTTACTCTCTCGATTGCCTCAGATGGTGAAACATGTGAAATACTTGTATTTTCTTATTTTCCTTTGTCATCTTCTGTCACTCATTTCATCAAATTTCTGATCAATCAGACTTTCAGAAGAAGCTGAGTAACGAGAACCTGAAAATTTCACTTCACCTTCAAACGGTGTAACCCGACGTGTGGTGATTCTTTCAGTGGAGCAGAGTTTCTCCCGGTTTTGCATGTCCTTGTCCAGACTGGAAGCAGATCTGTCTCTCACTGACTGTCCCTCCCTCGCCTTCATTCCTCTGCCCCCTCTGTCTCTCCTCATCAATATTACCTCCTCTATCCTTCTTTCCTTCCTTCTCTCCTCTCCCAGTGGCTGCACATCGTCCTCGTCGCCTCTCCTTTAAGAGGTTTTCTCTGTTCTCTCGGTTGCCAGGTAAACGCCGGCATGTCTGGGTCCTTTAACACAAAGGACACATGGGTACTGGGTGGATGGGTAGAGCTTGAGTAGAGGGGGGCACTAGCTTTGACTCTGTTGTACATGTTGGGCGAATTGATGCCGGATCACTAAGAGAAGAGAAATTCTCATGGCAGTGCTCTTTGTGGGTTTAAATAATAGATCACAGATAAGACTTTTATATACAGTCCTGTAATTTTTGCTCAGTCCTCACCTGTCCTCACATCACCATTTGATTGCCCAAAGGTGCAGCACGTTGAGGTTTCAGCCCACAGATCAGAAGTACAGCGTTAGCTTTCTTCTCTGTGTGATTCAAGGCGGATTTGCCCTTTAAGGAGAGCAAAGATTTAGAGGTTAACGGCTACTTTTTGGCAAAGAAACTCTTTGATCAACCAAAGCAACCTCAGATCAAACTACATCTGTATTTTATTGTTACAATTTTGGGCAGTAAATGAGCAGGAGGAAAGAAGAAGATGATAAATCAGTGTTTTCTTAATGTAGGCCAGCATTAAGTTAAATTTACTTCATTATAAACAACTTAATCTCTGTTTAAATTAACTTATTTGTAAAAATCCGTTAAATCTTTTTATTTTTTTCTCTCTCAGCCTGAACGGTGTTGGTTTGTGTTGTTACCACAGCCCACTTTGTGAACTCGAGAATGAGGCAAAGTAGGATTTTTAAATTGATTGAAACCCAGTGAACTCGATGCCCCAGTCAAAAGTCAGGTTTTCTGGTAATCTTGGGAATGCATTAACCGAGGAAGTCATCTTGGATTTTCACATATATTATCATAGGTGAATCTGCTCGGAGGCTAAGGGACAGCACGAGCGACTGCCAGTATTTCTAGAGTGTTATGCATTCATTTAAAAGAAAAAAAAGATTTTTTTTAGTACTCATAGCTTTGTTTAGTCACAGTCACATGTGTAACCAAAATGGCAATAACTTACCTTTTGACAACCTCTACACCAAATATTAGCCATAGCTCGTTTTTAACCCCTAAATATTTGAATAGGCTCTGCTTTCAAAAAGCAGCATCAGTTATTTCAATTATATGAAGTGTAAAATAATCCCAAATTGCCTTTTATTAGTCTCAAAAGTGTCTTTAAGGGTGTTTTCAAAAACGTTTTTGGATAGTTTGCTTTAGGCTGTTATCCATGTAAAGTATGTTTAGAGTGTTTTAAACTAGATTGGAGAGACTTGAAGACGGATGATGGAGATGTGGAATATTGTGACTTGGTGGTTAGAGAAAAAAAATGATTTTGGTCTGTACAGTAAGCTAATTTTGCACATTCGTTGATTCATAGTAGCACCGAGGCGATGCAAGTGTGAAACTGGCGTCTGTCGAATTTTTTGAAATAATGAAAGTTGATCAAAGAGTTTATCAACCAGAATGTCAGCACACATCTTAAACTGGGAGGGAATGCGGGGGGAATAACACGATCACGTGGCATATCTAAAATAAAACTCAGAAGGACGGGACAACATCATGAGATGCACAGAAGGGACATGAATCCCCTCGGGGATTAAGCTGTCTGCTCTTTGCACACTGCTCCTGATAGCTTCAGATGGGTTGTCTTCTGTTGGCATCGCATGAGTTTTTAAGTATAACTGCTAATGCAATTTAAAAAAGAAAAACACAACGAGCTCCCAAAAGATCGATTCTCTTCATCTGGACGTACTGTTTTCAATGGAGAATGTGGAGCTATTAAGAAGCAGCATGTGAGCCTTTTAATTCAGCTCTTTTTGTTGTCCTTGACCTGACGATGTCACGAAAACACTCGTTTCAAATCGACTAAAGAATATTAATAGCTGTAATAGACTGTAGTGTTTTTAAAGCACAGTAAGAAAAAAAAATTAAAATGGGTGTATGGTGATTGTTATTTAGAATTTGGTCCAATCACTTGTCTGCCTTACTGTTAAAAGCACCGATTCACTGTGCGAGCACTACTTCACAGGTAGAGGGTAGTTCTTTTAAAATTTTCAGAGTTTTGTTCTCAAAGATCCAGTAGGAGACTTTTTGGGGGGTTTGACACAGTGACCAGGGCCCGTATCCCTAAAGAATCTTTGTGCAAAAAGTGGCTCCTAGCGGCCAAATTCTAAGAAAATTCTCAGAGTCATGACGTTTTCTTAGAATTTCCCCTAAAAGTGACACGACAATCCCAGTTAATATAAAAGCTATTCCTCAAGATTCCTAGCGCTTAAAAGGGCTCCTAAGGCAAGATCTGCTAAGAGCAGGGAAGAGGACTTTTAGTGGCTTAGGAGTTCCCCTAAGCAGCTGCACAAAATGGCCAACAGAAGAGGCAGGAGTGATGTCCTGCAAACACTGCATGACAGGGAATTATTGAGATGCTACAGATTGGATCGTGCAGGAATCATGTTTGTGGTGGATCTCCTTAGAGATGCAATTACTTCACCAACTCGACGCCACAACGCTATTACACCGGAGACGAAAGTAATCCCAACCCCGAGGTATTTGGCAACCGGGAAAATGCAACAATGCAGCAGTGATGACTTGGGTCTGCAATCACAGACATTGCTAAAAGCTGAGCCATGTTACCCTCGTTAAGACCACACTGGACTTGTAACGTTGTGATTTCCACTTCATTAAGGACAGCCCCTTGAGATAGGCCATCTTGTTTTCAACGGGGTCCATATGGGAGTGAAAGTACAAAATATGCCAGCTAGGATATTTATATGAGCAAATAAGACACGAATCATTATTTGAACAGGGTGTAATGAGTTTGTTTTCACATATTTTAGATTCTAATGGCTATAACCCCTACAGCTTACTATTCATTTTCCAGATATTTTCTTGAATGTGAAATATTATTTACAATTACAGTCAGCATAAGATTAGAGTATATAATATGTTTATTGATTTGAGGGTACATCCTTTGCTCATTATCACCAAAAGCTCATTTCCATCAAACTTGTAGGATCAACCAATCACGGCTTTTGAAATGATGACTCATACCTAGCAACGGGGTCAACCACACCTCCTCACTAAGATAGGATTTTCCATCCATTCCTTGCTCAGAGTTCACTGAAAATGTTCTGGAATCACTTCTAAGCTAAAACTCCTGGCAAGGAATTTTTAGGTTAAGTTAGGAGCTCTCTGAGAGGATTCTCAGAATCTTTAGGGATACGGGCCCAGATCTCACAATAAGGTTTAAAACTTTTATGTTTTTAGTACACGTGGGCACAGTTTTATAACATCAAAGCATCATTAATAACTCAATCCAGACTAAAGAGTGGCTCTGTTCATCCTACCACTGAGCACATTTTGAACACAGTAAGTCAAGAAAAAGGTTAAAAATGACACTTACTTATGTCATTAAATGAGTAATAATGAGTAGAGAGCTATCCCTGTCCCCACACCTCTGAAATGGTTGTAAAACTATGTATGTGCTAGGCAAACAGCATGATTGGTTCATACTTTTCCCATTTAGGCTTTCAATTGTGTCTTTCCAGGGAGGGCCGGGGTATCGCTATCTTTAGCACTTGCGTTTTTAGCTAGCAGAGAGCATATGTATGGGGGAGAAACTTATGACCTCATTAAACACTTTCCTTATGAGCTTCCTGTTTCATTTTCAAGTGCAATTTTATACATTAAGAAAAAAACCATCATGATGTATTTAGGAAAAATTAGACAATAAAGCCGGATATGCTTTATCATTCCTCTCCCTTGAGATAATCAGATCCACTCCTTCATTGTTACATGACAGTTTCACAGAACTAAGATGATGCAAGTTGAGAATTCATAATTCTCACAGATCAATGGGATAATGTCTTTTTTTTTTATAAGGTACTTTTATATGTAAAGAAAGATTTGAAATTAAATAGGGTGCTAACTTGTGAGTGGTTGAGTGTCGTTTTCAGTTGTGGCTGCATAATAAGTTGACAGGATACAACTAAAGAAAGGTTCCCTACTGGATCTTAAAATGATTATTTTAGACAATTATTGTTTCCTGATGAAGTGACATCTAACCACTAACTTAAAAAGTAGCCATAGACAACCAGGATTAACTTTAGAGCTCAATTTCTTGAAAGCTAACACACTTGACATGTCTAGGTAAAACCGTTTCCTATGACTCACTGAGGCCCCCTACTGGAAGACTCACGCCAACTGGTAATAACACACATCTGGTAATGAGCTTGCGTGTGAAGCGCGTGTGTGACACATCCAGGAGTATCATCAGCTGGATGACGTCCGTGAATGTCATCATTGTGATTACACTATGAGTGAGCAGAGGGTGAACATAACAAGTCTGAGGGAAGTGGGAGGTGCATGCTGCATGTTATGGCCATCTAGAGCTAAAATGAGCTGAACTAATGGCTAAGCTGTACTGGTTACATTATGATTGTTATTATGTGTCACTTTATAGAGTTCCGTGGAGGTTATTGTATGTAACTCTATACGTCATATGCTCTTGAGTTGAAATAATGTGTCATTTAATCCATTAGTTTATTATTGATTAGCTCTGACTGGGAGTATTTTATGTTTTTCTCAGTTTTATTTCATTCTAAGTCAAATCTTTTACATTTTTCAATAGGACTTAAATTTCTGTGACTCTCAACCAGTTGCTCTTAGAACTGAAGAAGCTTCTTGGATGAACTGTCTTCAACAAAATTAAAGAAGTCCAGTCATTTTTTTTAATATGTCACACAGAAATATTAATTATTCTAAACACAGAAACCTTTCTTCTATCAAAAATTGAATGTAGGAAAGTTTTGTCCAGGGAATTTCCACCTGGAAAGTTTTACAATTGTTGACTAACCAGTGAACAGTAAAATTTGAGGTTTTCAGCAGTTTGTTGTGAGTTATCACTTGAAAATGTGACACATATTTAAACATTGACTCACACTTATGTTTAACAGATTACAGCGTCAAATATTGCTTTCAGCTCTCTTAATAAGTCCTTAATAAGTTTGATGGTGCTCTTGGAAAACTTTTAGATGTTGTTGGCTTTGACCACAGCAGGATGCACGTCTTTGCTTCGGTGCTTAGAGTGGATTAAATACCTAAATATTAACTACCTTTTTTCTCCTTTACTTTCATAGGTTTAACTTTATTTCTGTTTAGGTGTTACTGCTGCTATTGCTGTGCATCCATTACACATTGTGTGTCAGTAATCACTCTCACTCGTTAATTATTCTTTATATTAACCTGCATTTGAAGCTACACTGCATCTTGTGCCTCTGAGGTCTCCACCATCAAAGGCTTTGAAACAGTAACATCAAGCCCAACCAACGGCATGGTTGGCCCGATAGGTGTTTATCACACAACCCTGTCTTTAAATGCGTAACAGGACCTGGTGCTATTAACCTTTCCTGCATGTGTGTGGGTGTTTGCAGAGTTTCGTTCACCATCCCATATCAGCGGCTTGAACCGAACAGCCTCGATGAGCGGAGCCGACCGGATGGAGTCACTTTCGGTCAGCGGCAGCAACAGTCAGCTCAACAACAGCATCCCCATGCAGCAGTACATACCAGACTTCTACGTCCGAGCCCTCACTGACCTACAGTTTGCCAAGGTTGTTTTTTGTTTTTTTTTTCTTACCTCCAAATTAACAATCAAGGCCTTTTGTCACCACATAATCTTTCTCCAGGGACTAGAAACCTTTAGGGGAAGTCTTTCCGCCATAAGGACCAGAGTCTAAATTATGTTTTAGAATTCCATTTTTAACTTTTTAACCAGTTCATGGGGAGTGGGTGGAGTGGGTTTGAACAAGCCTTTCCAAAGTTCATGCAGGATTTATGGTCCTGTGTTGGTTACTATCTTTGGCTATCTAAATAGTGGTCATTCAACCAATGCAGTAGCTTCAGAACATGATGGTGCTATGAATATTTATCTCTGTGAAGGTTCTCAGTCATCCGGGTCATCGTAATCTAAGGAGCTTGGGAAGAAAAGCGTGTGGACTTCTTTGAGTTGCTTGAAGACGTTTCACCTCTCATCCGAGAAGCTTCTTCAGTTCTAGGGTCAAATGGTGGAGAGTCCCAAAACTCTTAAACACAAACTTAACAATGTGGTGTATGCTGTACAGTGCAGTGAGGAATGCCCAGACCTCTACATTGGAGAGACCAAACAGCCACTTCATAAACGTATGGCACAACATAGAAGAGCCACCTCCACGGGACAAGACTCGGCAGTCCATCTGCATCTAAAGGACAAAGGTCACTCTTTCGAGGATGCCAGTGTTCACATTTTGGACAGAGAAGACAGATGGTTTGAAAGAGGAGTGAAAGAAGCCATTTATGTCCACTGTGAGCGACCATCTTTGAACAGAGGCGGGGGTTTACGACACCAACTCTCTGCCATCTATAATCCAGTTTTGAGATCCCTTCCCAGACACCTTAACGCCCACTCACATCCTGGACCATCTGACCTCAGGAAATCACGTGATGGGGTGGGGCCAGTTTTCACAATGAGCTCACCTGAAACCCTGGCTGATTGTGACCCACGCCCATTTTCACACCTTGGCTCATGTGATTAGTTAGAGGATCATTAGGGGGTCCATTGTATCTCTCGGTGGGTCACTCCCACAGAGCTTAAATCTGGGACTCTCCACCATTTGACCCTAGAACTGAAGAAGCTTCTCGGATGAGAGGTGAAACGTTTTCAAGCAACTTAAAGAATTCCAGGCGATTTTCTTTCCAAGCTCCTTAGACTATGAATTGTTATCATTCTTACTGGGTGAAAAGCTTGCTGAACGGGAAAAGGGGTTGAAGAGGAAGAAATGCATCAAAATCATATATTAGAAGCAAAGACCGTAACCGCAGTGGACACTTTTAACGGTTGGTTTCACATCACTGCAAAGAAATATATCATAAATATTTTCTTCTCTGCAGAACAGACCAAGCTAAAGGACCTACACCAATACAGTGAATGAAATGAGCTTATGTTACCAGTTTTTCTGGAGATTTGTGACACTGGTGACGGTAAACAGCTACAATATGTAGACATGGGTCTATGAAGTTCTCAAAAGTATAGGAGCTCTGGGAACAAGTGCTAAAAATAGTTCTGATTTTTATATCAGGTGGCATTTAAAATAAAAATAAGGCTTTGACCTATCAGCGAAGCATTGCACTTGATTTACACTCGCCATTATTGCCTTCACAAACAGATGTGCATGCAAGAAGTGACATCACAGCTGCTGGAATGGTGTCTTTGGTGTCGTTTTTTACTACTTTTACTTCTCATGCTCCTCTCAGTTCTGATTACCTGGTGCAACTGACACAAATGCCTGATTGTGTGGGTCTTTACCAGCATTTCAATGGAGTTCAGAGATTCCCAGTTGATACAGATGGATTTGAGAGTGCAGCTTTCTTTGCAGAAGACTCCAGCAAGTGTGGTGAACGATGGCAGTGCTGTGGTGATGTCCCACAATCAATATAGTGATAGGGAAAAAGTCTAACAGATGGACTGACCAGAAACATACATTTCCTTGCAGCGTCAGGAAAAAACTTTTCATCACACGCAGCAAACAAAGGGAATGATTCACTTTAGCCTCTTTGTCAGTAAAGAAGTACAGAGTTTCCTGGACAAATCACACAGTTACGTGCACTATCCTTACATTGATCCAGTTAGACATCACAGTGACGTTATCCAATTTCTCGTAAAGTCAGACAGAAATTCTGTTTAAAATGCAGGCACACCTTTGGTCTTTAAAATTGAAATTTCCAGGACATACAGTTCTGAAAAGTTCTGTTGGCATGCAGTTTTAAAAGTACTCAGTAACTGTCCATCCATCCATCCATTCGCTTCCGCTTATCCTTTTCAGGGTCGCGGGGGGCGCTGGAGCCTATCCCAGCTGTCATAGGGCGAGAGGCAGGGTACACCCTGGACGGGTCGCCAGTCTGTCGCAGGGCCAACACACAGGGACAGACAACCATTCACACTCACATTCACTCGCACATTCACACCTAGTGGCAATTTGGATTATCCAATTAACCTATCCCCACAAGTTGCATGTCTTTGGACGGTGGGAGGAAGCCGGAGTACCCGGAGAGAACCCACGCAAACACGGGGAGAACATGCAAACTCCACACAGAAAGACCCCGGCCTGATGGTGGAATTGAACTCAGGACCTTCTTGCTGTGCGGCAACAGTGCTAACCACCGTGCCACCGTGCTGCCCTACTCAGTAACTGATAGAAATACAACTGTGCAGGTCTTTGCTAACATATTAAGAATGATAACTATTCTCATTATCCCTCATTTTTTCAGATCACACGAGCTCAGTACCAGAACGGCCTGATGGCATCTCGCCTGGACAGCACGCCGCAGTCCCCCGAGAGCAGCCACAACACTATTCGTATGGATCAGACGCCTCCCACCACCATCGGTAACACCACCATTACGGACCTGGGAGCAGACTCCACCCCTACGGAGAACGGCCCGGACGAGACGACGCTTCTCCTCCTCAATGAGCAGAACTCGCCACACACAGGCAACCACCACAGCCAGGTGGAGAACAGAATCTGACAGCCTCCACTGGTACCAGCCCTCCATACTCCTACATTGGCCCACGTGCACTACTACGCCCGGTTGTATGCCGAGGAGGGGAGGATTGTGTGTGAGTGTGCGTGTTTGTGTGAGTGGGAATGCAGGCACAAGCTGATGAGGCCCAAAGAGTCAAGCCACGTTCATACTGTGTAAATATGCAAAGATTAAACACACACACACACAATCGTGCACACACACAGAGCAAACACACACTGATGAGCCAAAACATTTTGACTGTGCTTAAAGGATGAACAGGATATTTACGGCCATAATGTTTGGGCTCATCGGTGTACACACACATACCAAAGTCTCCACACCTCTACCGATCGATGGAACTAGTATCGCGTCAGTGTTTGCACATGCCTCTTGATCTGAAGGACCTGTTTGTCTGGACCAGAAAGCTCCTCCATTTCTCGTTCAGAGGTGTTACCGATTATTTAAGTGTGTGTGGTGTAGTGTGTGTGAGAAAGAGTGTGCGTTGCTTCTAAATCACTGTCCCTAATCAGAGACTCAGGGAGACTCCGCCCTCCTCCTCATTTCCGGATGTACGTAAAAGCAAGTGTGGTCGAAAGCCCCAAACCAGCCCATCGCCGCATGTGTAGCAACCTGCATCCCCCTCCTCCATACAGCTAGAGGACAAAGACAACCCGAGCATGTCTGCGGAGTTCACACAAAGTAATACGTGTACCATAGAAATTTATAGTGAGATATTTATTGGGGAGATATTGTGGTTAAATGAGGATGGGGATGGGGTGGATTTCTATCTATAGAGATATATTTTCTCTTCCTTGTTTCCTGCATAGAAACAGCTGGTAGCCCAGAGCCTTTATCCCAGAGTTGTTAAGAGATTTGCCGCTGATAGACCACCAGTCTGTATTGTGAACAAGACAATCAACATGAATATTTTGAATGTGTTAAATTAAATATGTAGGGTACGTTAACTGTGGCTGCCCTGCTCTCCAAATGCCATATCTGTGTCACCTTTAATTCTGTTCCTCTGAGGACAGACGTGGAGTTTCTAGATGGGTTGCAGAGACGAAGGCGTTCGAGAGCAAAGAATCCTTTCCTACTTTTTTTTGGGTTTTTTTGTTTTGTTTTGTTTCTAAAGACGATGGGTAGTCTGTGTCTGTGCGTGAGTTTGCGTGTACGAGACCAAAGCTGGCCATCATCTGACTTGTTGGGAGCAGAAACCAAAAGTGAGAAGCTTGATCACCTCCTGACTGGAAAATACTTTAAGAAATCTGAGAGTTTATTTATTGAGTTTAATGTCTGTGTATGCGTGTATATATTCCTGTTGATTTGAAGGGGAGAAAATGCAATTTTATTTCACCGTTTTGGGAGATTTTACATGTTAAAATGTTTCTTTCCATTCAGTGATTATGTTCGGGTTTGCTTTTTGTTTTTAATGTAGGAAAAGGGGGTCACTCTAACATAGTTTTTGTATTTGTGTCTCCAAATGCAACATTAGCCACATTCTGTCCGGTTTTTTTGTTTGTTTGTGTGTTTTTTGGTTATATTTTACCAGTTATATTTTACTGTACGCTCAGACAACGTCTTAAAGAAGAATCTGAAAATCTGTTTTCTGGTGGATTTTTCTTTCCCTGAACTCTAACAGGAGCACAACCGTGTTTCGTGGGTATTTCTTTATTTTGTGATACTCTGCTGCTTTTAAGACACCCGTTGTAGAATTTTATTTACACACTAACAACTACATGTAACAGATGTTCACTTTTTGGTACTTTTTATTAGGCTATACTTAAAAGATGGTCATAGCCTTTAGGTTTGAAACATAAGCCCAATGTGGAAGTGCCTTAATCCTGTGTTCTTTCTAATGGCCAGCAGGGGTGACTTCTCTGGTTGCAAAGAAAATATAATTATATAAAAGTTTATGAGGAAATAAATCTACTTTAAGACCACAGCAAAAAGGTTCCTTTTGAGTTTGCAGTCTGAATTGCAAGTTTTTTATTTAGTATAATTTGATGTTTGTTTAGTAAAACAAGGTCCCAATTAGAGTAAAATTGTGAATGCATTAGCTCATGGCTGTCTTTTGATAAACAGGTTGGCAGTCCTTGGGCTCGCAGTTCCTCCAGTTGTCAACAGTAAAAATAAATGCACAACTTCATTGAAGATGAAGATGATATAAAGTTTATGGTTGCACCGCCTTTACTTTTTCTGTCATCTTTGAGTAGCAAAGATTTTTTTACAAGCAACAAGTTTCCAGCTTTGCTCTAAAAGATGTGACCAAGTCTTCTGGGATATGCAGGACACCAGGAGTATGATACGAAGCAAGCGAAAGGAAAGATGATCACAAGCTGGTGTTAAAAAAATTGATTTTTCCTTTTATTGTTGCGGTTTTTGAGATCGGGAGCATTAACATAACACCCAGCAGCAAAAATGATTTTGAAATTTGAAGAAATTAGTATTACTACATCTACTACTACTTGTTTTCTGGATGAGGAAATCTGAAACCAAAAGCATTTCCGTTATTGTGGAATTTCCTATCTTGTTGAAGTGAGATGTCAATGAAAATGAGTTTCAGCAGTGGTGGGAAAGGCCAGAGAGGTCAGTAAATTTCCAAAACTTCAGCAAGTGCAACACATGATTAGAATTTTAGTGTCTTTAGAAAATAAACATTTTTGACGTAGTTACATGTAGTTGACTTAATGTTGTTTCACAAATTATTATTATTTTATTTCTTTCACCAAATACAAAAGTGATCCTCTAACATTTCAATGTTAGATGATGCATTTTATGTCTCAGTTGGCAAACCTACAACTTTTTGCACCAAACCAGGTGCTTTGTGAGTGTGACTTGTATATTTGAATCATTTATTTGGCAGGTTTAATTGCATGTTACTGCCTACCAAAGACTAAAGTACAGCACTGATGCTGCTTATAAAGAGGCTGTGGCTGTTGGCTGGCATCTTCTGTGCAAATATTGCAGCTAAACAGTTTTGGGGAAATGCATTTCAAGCAGGCTGTGAATGTATTTGAGCACATGGAAATATATTTAGAAGGAAAAAAAGTGCTGCTTGAATGAGATTTTTCATCTCTTTTTCACACTTAAAATGCCACTAGATAACGCTAATGGGAAGGATTGTCAATAAATGGTAACTGAAGTCATCTATTTAATTATTCATCAATCAACTATCCAGGTTAGTTGACACCAATTTAAATCAAATATTGAAAGAAAACCAGCAGCCTCTCCAACGCTTTAATGACAAGCCCCAGTGAGTAAACACTAGTTCTACTTTTGAATCTGCATTAGCTTCATGTGCTCATGTTTTACTCCGTTTCCAAGAAATGTTTGTATTTCTTGTCTTTTAGGCAAAAAGTAAGAATTTTGCAAGTGACAAAGATTCAAAGAGTCCATGGTTTTTGTGGTCTAAAAACAGAAGCAGCACACAACACACAGTTGTGTCACAATGCTGCTGGTAACCCAAATTTCATAATCATATTATCACTGACTTCATCAAGTGACTGCAATAATTTCACTCCCCTGTCCACACAGAAGCTAAAGGACTTTCTCACTGCTGTGTTGGCTTCACTACTTTTTAATGACTGTACTTTTTTGTGTGTTCATTCCTGTTTTTCCTTTTTCTTCCTTGTTTTTTTTACTTAAACACCACAGAGACACACGCAAACACACACTCCTATTTCAAAGGACTGTATTTTTTTCCATGTTCATGTTGGAGTGGCCCCCCATCCCACAACCCCTGCTTTAAATTGTTCTGGGTTTGGGTTTATTATGGTGCACGTGAATGTGTTTGTCAGTGCCTATATAATGTGTGTGTGTGGGGGGGGGTGTTTTCTTTTTTTGTACCTCAGAACACTGTTAGTGATTGTGGTAATAATTTTTTTTTATTTTTTTTATTTTTTATTTTTTTGTCTCGAGTTAAATTTGGGAACAGAGCAAATGGAGCGACTGGCATTTGGGAAAAAATACTGATTGTCCTTCATTCTCTCTGGCATGCTTTAACTTAAATATAAATAGACACAAGGTGTAAATACTGTTTTATAATTTCTGTCTTAATGAGTTTTGAAAATGAAGAAAGTTATTAATAAACCTGAGATATATTTCTCTACAGAGCTTTGTGATTGCCTTGTTTTGTTTCTGGGGCTGATCTGACATTTTTTTCCCCAATAATGGACACATACAATACTACGCTTTTTAGTCCTCTATACTGTTTAAAGCTATAAATATATTTAATGCAAATCTAATTTTTCACCACTGACTAGGGTTGCCAACTCCCTGAAAAATAAATAAGGGACACCTCGTGGCCAGGGCCGGGCAACCCAGTTGTCTTCACCCTTCCCAGCAAGGCTGGACTGGGACAAAAAATCGGCCCGGGCATTTTGACTAGAGACCGGCCCACCAGGATAAAGATTGAAATGTGACGTCATTCAGGGATAAAACCGCAAAGGATTCTGGGAACTTGTGGCAAGAGGTACTAGCGCACGCAGGCTTTCAATTGAACTCAGTTACACAGCGATAAAAAGAAACCCAAAAAATGGCAAGAAGCTGTTGTATTATTAACTGCAATAGCCGGTCGCATGACAGCCACGGGAAGCCGACGGGTAAAGAGATCTTTTTTTTTTTTTATCGGATTATGTCGTTGAAGTGAAAATTTTTAAGCCATGTTTCCGAAGTAAGAGCCGACGGATGGTCTGGATATACCAAATATAACATCTCAGAACACTCCAGCTCACATGTTAGTCTGATCCAAGCATTCCCACAAAGGTCAGAGTTTTGTAGTAGTTAATACGTCATTTTTCTTAACATAATTGGTGATATAGATTACAAGCAAGTCTGGCGCTGAACAGAAATTGTCACGCTATGCTCCTTTGTTTATTGTGCATAAATAGTGAATTGTCCTGACACAATATTGCGTTTCGCTTCTGTTATAACCATGGTACACTGACAAAACCATATACTTTTATTCACAAGATATAACAGTTGTTTTGTATCACTAATTGTCCATTGCGATTACAACATACAATATTATTGTCACTGCTACATTTCTGTAATGCTACTGTAACCGGTTTCTGCTTCATCCCGCTGCAACAGTTCGGCCCAAACAGACTCCTTGACTCTGCGTTGTGTAGTGTTTTTAAAAAGACAAGGAGTCTCTGATCGATCGTTGCCACTTTATTTCCTGAATGGAAACAATGGTGTATTATCAGTGCACAGGCTCGCCATACACCACTCCGCACAGCACACCCTCGTATGGCTACGGCAGACTGGCAGCGATTACTGCAGCAATATTACAATTTCTAATATACAATAAAATAACAGCAACAACAAATGATGTACCTGAATGGAAACAACGGTGTATTATCAGTGCACAGGCTCGCCACACACCACTCCGCACAGCACACTACGGCAGAACATCTCATTAGCATTCTGCTTTAGCATACAGTTTCACACATTAATAAACAAATGAAAAGTACATAAAACTGGTGTTGGACATGTGTCCACTAAGCACTTATTACACTCGGTGCTCTTCAGCTAATCAAACATGTTTTATGTGTCTGTACTACTTAGCTATATTGTGTGCGGAACAATACAACTCACCTCTCGTATGGCTACGGCAGACTGGCAGCGATTACTGCAGCCAGCCACACCGAGAGGGGGGGGCGCTGTTTCCCCATTACACTGATATTTGTGGCAAGTGGAATAATACCACATAAACACTGTTACACTACCAGAAATTATTTCCACTACTAATTAATTACCGTTGAGCTCAAAGGTCCTATTAATAAACTGTTAATGAATGTGTATTTATGAAGACGATTTGTGAGACTGGTAAACTTATGATATGTACAAGTCTTTCGTTCTACACGGTGTTTCAAGGTCCTGTACCCATCCGTCGGTAAACTGTACCTGGGCTTGTTGCAGTGACCTGAAGTTACTAAACTTCATGAGTGTATGCACTCACTCCAAGAACCGTATAATTATAAATCTGAGCGTGGTGAAAGTTGGGCAGCACGCTGACGTCTTTTGTCCACTCTTTCACTCCTTTGATTTTGTCCTCGTATCTTTTCTTTGTCTTTTCGTCGAGTCTGTCTTTGTACGGACCGGCATTGTTCTCCTTTTGTTTTGTACATTCCTTTTTTGTGCGGCAAAGAAAAAAAAAGAAGGTATTGGAACCGGAGAATGAACGTTTTGCGGTGCTGCAAATGTTTGCATTTGATGCGGTACTTGGATTGTTTTGCCACGAGTTCCCGGCATGCAATGCGCGAAAATCACGTGATTGCTAAACAAGGGGGCGGGTGCATCCAGCCTCCTCGGCTGTAATTGGTCCAGCCCAGAGTCGATCATGACCAATTGGCCAATCCAACGCCTTTCATTATATATACCCTTCCTAAAAAAATAAAATAAAATAAAAAAAATCCATCGGCCCATAAAAACAAAAAATCGCCAGCGGCCCACCGGGCAAATGCCCGGTATGCCCGATGGCCAGTCCAGCTATGCTTCCCAGTGTGGTAGCTCTTTTTTTGTGTGTGAAATTATTTTTTTAACCATTTGACTTGAAGTTGATTTAAGCAGATGCATATTCTTTGTGATATGAACACATGGGAAACAAATGATCATTTAGTCATTTATTTTTAGCTCAAAATGACAACATTAACACAGTAAAACAGGTCTCCTTCTTAAACAGAAGCCTGTCATGCTTAACTTTTGAGAATATAAGTAAATCTTTCTTTAAAAGAACTCTGTCCTGCTTAACTTAAAATTATATAAATTAATAGAAAACAATAGAAAGAAAAATATTCTTGTAACTGTGCACATATAGTGCATTTAGTACAATTGGCTTCAGTTGAGGTATTATTTCAGCTTTTCTAATGCTAATCAGCTGCTCCTGTTTGTAAACCCGCTTGTTCCCATGATTACGCATCATAACTCATCATCATTATTCATCTATGTATTACTTTTATGTATTAGTCATCTATTTGTTGTAATCATCTATCCTTACAGATGTTTATTACACAAAATAAGTTATATTATCACACTTCTGGCCACATAGCGCTGATATTCACTGCACATGCCCATATTAACTTTTTCCAGCCAGGTGTTTTCCTTTTCCCATTCCTCCCTGTGCTTTTGCAGCCTATTTTTCTTTCTCTGAGCGAACAAACATTGCTGCTCTAACGCTGGGCTCACACTGCGATTTTTGGCCCATTTTGAGACGATTTCTGAGTCGTGCGACGGATTTGGTGATCAGACCGATTTTGGCCTTCATCGTGCGTCGTGTAGTATACGTGGGGTAACGAGAAGCGATTAACACCTCACGACCAGCTCCCGATCATCAATCGCTCGTGAGGGTGTCACCGCAGCCGCTCACACTGCGCACGCGCAAACACGTAAACGTCGGTGAAAAAGACGGAGCAGCACAGCTGTGCAGCGTGTGATCTGGACACAAGCCATGGAGGCACAACTTGTAGAACTTTGGAAAGCTCATCCGAGCCTTTTCGATGTGGCATCACAAAATTATCACGACCACAACAACCGTGAAAACAGTTGGATTTACATTGCTGCTCAATCACAGCTGCCTGATCAGTGTTTTTCATTAGCAATTTAGCAAAGTTGATGGTGGTGGTGTGTCTGTGTGAGTGAAAGACAGAGAGAGCGAGCGACAGATTGTCTGTTATAACCTTCATTTTATGGAGGCACAGTGTGAGCTCTCAGGTCGCATCAGAGCATCGGGCGGTATAGTGTGAGACCCTGCATCGTGACCTACCAACTTCTAACCCCTGCGAGTCAATCGTGCAGTTTGAAAATCGCACAGTGTTTACCCAGCTTTAGGTGTACTGTCATCCGAGACTTGCACCGCAGTGTCGGCGTTTGTTTCCCTGTTGGCCATGCTTGTTGTTGTGGTCATCTGTTGTCTTCCGGTATTTTCTCTGTAAGCGACCTTTCCTCGACCAATGAGATAATCTGAATTGTCATACTCGAATTGTCATAAGTGTGCTGTCAGCTCATTGGTCACAAAGCAGGAGAGGGGCTGGGAATTATGTTTTCAAACAAAGCGTTAATTCCATTAACATTTATAGACTACTTTTGATTCTCACTATATTACGGGACAAAGTGCGTCCCTTATTAGCTCAATACGGGACGTGTACTTTTGTTTCGAAATACGGGACGATTCCGTATTTTAAGGGACGGTTGGCAACCCTACCACTGACTCACAGATTTTGCGGGCTCCTGCAATGGCGCAGAGCCATTGCAGGAGGGGCGCAGTATGGGGGGAAAAAAAAGAAAAAAAGAAAATGAATACTTGGACACTGCTAGCATAATTGACAGGTTTTTGACGGGGCTCGCACGCAAACGCAAAGCAGGATATGAAGCATCGCCAAATATGTTTCCAAACCAACTTCATTCTAAGCCAAAGACAAGAAAATATGGTGAAGCTTATCTTCCCTTTGGCTTCACCTGCACAAGTGTCAAGGCAGGTCTCCCCTGCAGAATTGGTTTTCCCTTCGTCGGGAGCAGCGCTGGGCTCTCCAAATAACAAACAGAATCCCACATTCTTGATTTTTAGTTCACAAACACTTCTTGGCTAACTACTCCTGACATTTTGGAGATGTTTGCTCTTTATACAGTAAAGTTACAGCGGGATACAAATAATATCAGGCTGATCCTGCCACAATTTGTCCCGCGGTTCAAATCACGGACAAACAGTATCCCACAGTTGTTTATGTTTTTAAACCCATTTTGCACAGAGAGGCATTTTTTGAAAAATGTATTGATAGCAATGTTGAATATTAGTTATTAGCCATGAACCATGAAACAATTGGAAGAAAATTCTATTTTTGGAACCTTTTGATCTAATACAAAAAATAAATAAATCTGAAATTGCATAAAGAAGTTCACATTTGTATCGTATTTACTACATCAGGCATTTATTATTTAAAATGCATTGTGCATTTTTTTTAATTTAATTTTTTCAGGGGGAAGAAATCAAACTGAGGATGTAGAAGTCTTAAAAACCTGCATTTCAAAAATGATACACTTGGTTTTGAATGGTTGGATTTAAATGGTTAGGATATGGTGCATAATTTTTACAATAATTCCAACTAGTTTTCAGAGTTTTCAGAAGCACAAGTCTGGATTGATCACATCTGCATCTGTAGATGTGATAAATGGGGAAGAGTAGAAACGCAAGGAGAAGAATAAAACCAAAGAGCCCTTGGTCACCATGTTTTTTTCTTCTGACTTGGAAAGAAATTAAATGATCATTCGTTGAAGCCACAATAACGCTCAAAAAATCATTTTTTTCCATCACAAACAAAGTTAGACTTTGGTTAGAGTAAAATGCAACTAAAAAAATGTAAAAACAAAGATTTACTTTAATAATTAATCATTTTACATGAGTGAAACTCCACTTTATGCCAATGTAAATACATTTAACTACACAATCCTTGATTGTGTTTCTTAGCATTTTGTGTGACACCCCTGCAATTGCCCCCATGGTGATCAATCTGTAGAGAAACAAAATGAGACAGAAAGACACACACCAGGCTGTCAGGAGGTTATTAATTTATACAGAGTGGCCTACTGTTCCCTCTCACTCCCAACTTTATTCAAGTGTTCAGCTGGAAAAAACTGGTTCTCCCCAGTTCGCTGTTTATTGCTTGTAGCCGCGTCACTCTCAACGGCAACACTTCAGCGTCTCACCACATGCCAAAACGTTCCCCTTTGATGGATGCTGTTCGCTTTGGATGTACCCATACACACCTGATTCACCCAGGCTATGGTGCGTGCACACACACACACACACACATTCTCGTTTTGCTATCTTAGTGAGGACATCTAATTGACCATAACATAATTGGAACCCTGACACTAAAACCAAATTTTCAGTTTAAAAATGCCTTCAAGCTCGTGGGGACAGGCACTTTTGTCCTCATAAGTGACTGTTGGTCCCCACAAGTATAGTAACGTTCCAATTTATGGTCCCCACAAAGATGTCTAAACAGGCACACACACACACACAGAGCTCACCTTTTTTGTGCAGCTACTTGAACATAAAATCTGAGTCACTTATTCTCCAAAAACACTGTTTGTTGTTCCACTTCTAAATGCATGAATATATGGAAACTCAAATGAAGTGTCCTATATTGCTAATCTCATATAATACTCCAGCATTTATTAGTATTTATTTTATAATGATTGTTCTTCAAGATGATCAGTGATATTTTCAGGTCAGAGCTTTTAATGTTGTGGCTAACCGGTATTGATGAAAGCATACATTTTCCCTTTTTTTTAAATGACCAATAGAATTACACTGAAACTATACTGAATTGGTGTCTAATGTCTTTTAAACGTAACCTTGTTAGGTCAAATCATCCACTCGGGTTTTGTTCTGGTATTCTTAAGTTTCCTAGGAGGCTAATTGCTTTGTGGTGAGCCTGTTGAGGCTTGAAATTTTCCTCTTCCGTGTAGTTCACCAGTCATCTGTTGTACACAAGCACTTCATTTTAATGATTATCTGATGTTTCCTGTTGCACCGGTAGTGGGAGAAAAATTTCCCTTAGGGTAAGGCTTTGGAAAGGCAGCGATGAAGAAAGGTTTCAGCTGATGAATGAGTCAACCTACTTTTAATTCCTGTGTGAAAACTTAAAGTCAAGAAATTGAGGTTAAATTTGTTGGAGCATTAAAAAGAGCCCAAGAGCGTCTTACAACTAAAGTCTGATGTTGTCAATTCTAATGAAGATGCAGTCACTTTGGAAAAGC